ATACTTTGAAGGATATAAACCTATATTGATCACTACAAGAGTAACATGGCAGCTTCCTTGTCATGGTTGGTACAAATGTAATACTGATGGAGCTTCAAAGGGCAATCCCGGACCTAACTCCCTAGGCTTTTGTGTGAGGGACGATGGAGGTGATGTGGTGTATTATAGGGTAGTAGACGTGGGAGTTACAACTAATATGGTGGCTGAAGCTAAGGCTATTCTTCAAGGGTTGGAATATTGTGTGGAGCATGATTTTCATCCTCTCATACTGGAGACTAATTCATTGGTGATGAAGAAGGCAATAGAAGGAGAATGGGATCCTCCTTGGGTAATTGCACAGGATGTGAAGAAAATTATAGAGATGAAGGACAACTTCAATATGATCTTTCAGCATGTGTTCAGAGATGGCAACTCAGTGGCGGATTTTATAGCTAACATTGTGTTCTCTTTTGTAGGTACATCTGAGTTTCATTCATTCTCTGAACTTCCTAGTGCAGGGAAGAGGTTGATCAATCTAGACAAATCTCAATCACCTAACCTTAGTATTAGGATAGAAAAGAGAAGAACCCCATACTGATGGCTTCACAAGATTGGACTCTGAACAAACTAATATGGCCAAATGCTAAGGAAGATGCTGAACCTATCATATGGTATTTTTGGAGATTATTGAATCATTTTTCAGTTGTATTAGCATGCTTTCAAGCTCAATCTGAGGATGGTTTAGTAATGTTTTGAATGATGTCTACATTAAAGGTTCTAGTAGGGAAGGATCTGAGCTTACAAGATCACAAAAAGGAACAGGCTGGCCTTTGCCTTGCAAAGTCTTCTTAAAGCCAGATCATTCCTGGCTTTTGCCTTGTAAAGCCATCCTAAAGCCAGCTCATACTTGGCTTTTTCCTTGTAAAGCCTGGCTAAAGCCAGCTCATGCCTGGCTTTTTCCTTGTAAAGCATGCCTAAAGCCAGCTCACGCCTGGCCTTTGGCCTGCAAAGCCTGCCTAAAGCCAGCTCATGCCTGGCTTTTGCCTTGCAAAGCCTGCCTAAAGCCAGCGCATGCCTGGCCTTTGCCTTGTAAAGCCTGCCTAAAGCCAGCTCAAGCCTGGCTTTTGCCTTGCAAAG